GGTTTCAATTCGGGCATATGAAGGAAGACCAGTTATAATACGAGAAGCTTCTCTTTGGGCTTTCTCTAACATTTCTGTGTCATAAGTTGTACAACCATCCCACAATTCACAAGCATATTCTAAAACAGGTAAAATAAATGATTTATAAATCTTTAAAAGATTTTCACGATTTCATAAGTATTTTAGTCTACGTAAGACGTTGACTTTTTTCATAACTGAAATATATATTGCACAAATATGATCCCCCTATGTATCAGAAACAAGACTACTGCCTTAGTTATGTCGTCTTTTTAAATTTGCGAAATATATTATTGCTATTTAGTGATGACATTTTCGTTTCGTTATTGTACAAGTATTTTGACATAATGTAATCGGTGAAATGTCTTTACCCTGTGGATTACTGCATGTGAATAAGATGTGCAGAAATATGCCAAACCCCAGAAAGACTTGCATGAATGCGCTCGTTAAAAGTTTTTCTTAAAAACAATGCATGTTTTATGTCAAGCGTAATTTTAAAACTTTTCGAGAAATTTCGTTGGGGGGCCTCCTACACTGTATTGGGGGCCTCCTACACTATATTGGGGGCCTTCTACACTATATTGGGGGCCTCCTACACTGTTTTGGGGGCCTCCTACACTATATTGGGGGCCTTCTACACTATATTGGGGGCCTCCTACACTGTATTAGGGGCCTCCTACACTGTATTGGGGGCCTTCTGCACTATATTGGGGGCCTCCTACACTGTATTGGCGGCCTCCTACACTGTATTGGGGGCCTCCTACCCTATATTGGGGGCCTCCTACACTGTATTGGGGGCCTCCTACCCTATATTGGGGGCCTCCTACACTGTATTGGGAGCTTCCTACACTGTATTGGGGGCCTCCTACACTGTATTGGGGGCCTTCTGCACTATATTGGGGGCCTCCTACACTGTATTGGCGGCCTCCTACACTGTATTGGGGGCCTCCTACCCTATATTGGGGGCCTCCTACACTGTATTGGGAGCTTCCTACACTGTATTGGGGGCCTCCTACACTGAATTGGGGGCCTCCTACACTGTATTGGGGGCCTTCTGCACTATATTGGGGGCCTCCTACACTGTATTGGGGGCCACCTACACTGTATTTGGGGTCTTCTACACTATATTGGGGTTCTTCTACACTATATTGGGGGCCTCCTACACTGTATTAGGGGCCTCCTACACTGTATTGGGGGCCTCCTACCCTGTATTGGGGGCCTCCTACACTATATTGGGGGGCTCCTACACTGTATTGGGGGCCTCCTACACTGTATTGGGGGCCTCCTACACTGTATTTGGGGTCTTCTACACTATATTGGGGGTCTTCTACACTATATTGGGGGCCTCCTACACTGTATTGGGGGCCTCCTACACTATATTGGGGGCCTCCTACACTGTATTGGGAGCTTCCTACACTGTATTGGGGGCCTCCTACACTGTATTGGGGGCCTCCTACACTATATTGGGGGCCTCCTACACTGTATTGGGGGCCTCCTACCCTGTATTGGGGGCCTCCTACACTATATTTGGGGCCTCCTTCACTATATTGGGGGCCTCCTACACTATATTGGGGGCCTCCTACACTAAATTGGGGGCCTCCTACACGTATATTTAAAACCAGACTTCTACACGCGCAGGATGGGGTCATCCGAAAATCTTACCCTCATACCGCGAGTTTCATGAGCTAGACTGAAGTATTACTAAACTGGGGCAAGTTCCTCCATCACAAATAAAGTCCAGAAGACTATATGAAAACTTTGCTTTGTATTGTGTTGTTAAAAAAACTTTAATTTTGTTCAGTAAGTATTGACAAAATGTAATTTAAATATTTGTATTATACTTTTTATAGAGTTATCGATTGTTTGTTATCTTAGGGACATAACATACGTGGCTGTCAAAGCACCTAGTAGTAGAATGCTATCAGACAAGTTAAATTGTTTGACCCGTAAGGGGTAAGGTCATAGAAGTGTACTTCCCGCCTCATTGTTTTACCTTATGTATTGTACTGTGTCTACGTGACAAGTCGGTTCAAAATCCAATCTCTGAGCTAGGCCCCCGTCTATGGTAATCAATGGCGAGCCAACACACGCGACATCTAATGCATAAAGACGAGTTTTTATTGTTTGTACCGGCCTTTAAAGGTAGCATGCATTGATTGTTAAAATATGTAAATCCGAAGACGTTCGTGCCACTGCATATAAATAGACCCGTCCCAGAGTGAAACAAGGATCACATGTATGACGAAATTGTGAGATATATGCAGCGTATATATATATATATAAACAAAACAGATTCCCTATCAATTGTTTTTTTTTGTTGATTTTGAAAGTCTATCCTTAGTTTTTTATGCCAGTTTTTTGACAAGTGCTATCAAAATCAATATCCTTGTTCTATATAATGTGTGTAATAAGATTAAACTATAGCCGGAAAGAGAGTAGTGTGCTTCCATCGGGGATTGAACGAGCAACCCCCTCCCCCATCGTCCCAGCTTCCCAGCTCACCTCTCTTTCGATTGAGCTTAGGGACATTCCCTCTAGCTCAAAGCTAGAAGGCGACCGTAATCCTATGTACAAACAGAGCCTCCCACAAAACCACTCCCCTACTTACCGACCTTAAGTAATTAAGTGCAAACCGGAAAAAAACTATGTTGGCCTTTGGTTGAAACAGTGCTTAACTTTCAGAAGACCTCTTGCCCGTGACGTCACAAAGCATCAATTGGGGTAAAATCACTTTTCTGGAGGCATAACTATCTGACCGTGGTAACTACAGATTTGCTTCAGTTAGAAGTCAGTTAAATTAGGAGTAAATTTTGTTCTCTTTATAAATGTTTCTCCATTATGTTATTATCTTACAGACTTGTTAAAAGTTTGATAACAATTCCTGTTCATCCAATTTCACTGCACAAGAACATAGCACCATATCAGGATTGATCCACGAGCTCTGCACTACCAGATTCTGAGCAGGTAAAAGTTCGGGCATACGAGTCCGGGGTTGGTAACTTGTTTAAGATGTTTTAACTGAAACAAATCCTTTTTTGTAAAACTCTTTCATACCGAGGGTAACCAGAGCATATTAACATGGTTGTTAATTGTAATATTTAGCCCACGGTATCAGAACAGATCGAGACATTCCTGTTTCATTGATAATGTAAGATTATCTGTAGTTTTCCATGTGCCAGTTAAAAGTGCAAGTTGGACCTATTTAGTGTTAACATCATAAATTACTTTAAAAGTAAATCATAATCGCCAAAATGGTCATCTCTGTTGCACAGGATGTGTGTACAAAAATAACGTTAATCTCTCACAACCTCCTTAAACGACCTTAGCTGTTAATATGATCTTCAACAGAATTAAACCAAATTAATCTCTCCAATAAAATTCTATCGGGAATCCTCGGTACTTTCCGTAACCGAGCAAAACATTTTTGTCACCGCCATGCTTGTTTTGGGGACAGACAAGTTTTATTAAATAAATGCATTTTATTTTAGGGGATTTTATAGCAATCAGTTTAGGGGTAAAAAAATAATAATATTGTCTTTTCTAAGGAAATACTGATAGTCATTTCTGAATATGATATAGATAATGTTGTCAAAATGATCCAATAATTAGGTAATCGTGGGGCTGGAACCATTTTATTTCGTTAATTAAGAAAAATCAACAGAGACACCCCGGAATATATTACAACCTACATCATCAATCATCAATACGGCTCACAGATATATCTGCCGGTAGCGTCTTTACAGAGTGTTGATCTAAACCATTTAAACGTCTAATATTACTTTCTACACATCAGGATAAGACAGATAACACATTCTCGGGGCTGTGAGGTGGGGAGGGGGGGTCTATAGATGGATGGGAAACAACCACACCATACCACCGGAACTCGTGTGTATACAGTATGCCAGCAGTACTTGACCACTCCGACTCGACCGCTGTTGACCACGGCCATAAAGACCCGTCTCCTAACAGATGTGACCACCCCTGAAGGGACAAGGCCCAGTTTAATAACATAATACCTATGTGATCCTTATGTGTGACGTCACAGAGGTCAGGATGCAAAAGCCTACTTCTGTAACTCTACTTTTTGTTTTTATTTTTCTAATGAAATCATTGCATACATCTCCGAAGAGTAAGACAGTTTATCCACATACAGATTATTATAAAGTGCGTATAATGTAAACACGGGGTAGTGTTATGTATAAACTATAATTAATATGGCGACTGATACCTATATAATCGTTTCCCATGATGAGAAGGAGAACATGGAACTTTTCGCTGCTATAAACTGAAAGTTATGTAATAATAATCTAAAAGAACATGCAAGGAGAAATATATCCCAGTTCAGACGTGGCAATGTGAAACTGAAAATTGAAATTTGAGTATATTGTAGGTTCTATTAACCCCTTCCAGAATGCGAGTTTTATAGTGAGTTGTGCAATGTACTTTTTGAAGAAGCAGTTATTTTTTTTATGAAAAGCTTTCGGAACTGATCTTACACGGGTAATTATACTTCCTTAAGACAATCCGAGTATCCAGACTAACTAATATACAAGATTAAATTTCAAACGACTCGAGGACTAGTTAAATTGATTCTATATTTAGGTCTGACTGTGACATTTTAATAAAATATGTTTGCACTGTGATCGGAAAGTGTTGTTATGATCAGTTGATGGTGAGTGTGTGTGTGTTGGAGGAGGGGGGTAGTGGGGGGTCTTATTTTAAAGGATGCGGGATACAGTACCATGATCTGTACAACATAAATAACGCTGAAGGTTGATTAACATTGTTATCATACACTTATAGACACACATACACTTACAAAGAACGTACGTAAACTGTGTGGCCACGATAGGGAGATACGTGAAGGCAAATTTCTGGCGAGACAGCTACAGCATCATTGTGTGTGAAAGGCCCCCACCACACACGTACTCATACTCACATGATGTTCAGCACATAAATAGTTAACAAAATCGCCAACTTACCAGCGAACTAAAACAGACGAAGGGCGTCAGTGGTAGCAGACCGTCTTCCAAGTATGACAAATTTCGTTAACACAATAGCATTGCTGTGAGGTCAGATTAAATAAATGCACGGCCACATCCTGCTTATATGCCTACGCATGTGCGCGAGAGTCTGGCTTGGTCGGAAACTGCCGATTACCAGTGATCAAGTTACATTAATAACTTTATGTAAGCCCGTACCATACTTTAGACAGCAGTCTCTGTGTGTGATTCACTACAATGCCTCTCGCGCATCTGCCTTATACGGAGTCTCATGCGCTAATTAGCAACTTATTATTGATTAATTTTGGCCCCTCGCACTCGCTTCTCTTCGGAAAGAGAATAAATTCTGTTTCCATAGCAACTGATGTTGCTTGACAATGGCAGACTGCTGAAAGTGAGCGGCGTGAAATGCTGCCAAGAGACAATTGGTGTACAGATGTTTTTCTCTGTCGTTCATCAGATAATACCGAAGAGGTCCGTTTTTAAATAACAAGGACTAACTAATTAGTTGTTAGTGTGTGGCCATTGTTACAATTAATTGTTCACAATTCGCTGTGGTAACATGTTATTTCAAAACCATAAGACAGTTGCGCCATTTAACTTCCACGCTCTAAATTATCATTAGGACAAACAAGAAATGATATCTATATATATATATATATAAATAGGACCATTAACATTTTTCATCAGAAGCTCCGAAGGTACGCCTGTATGTGGTGCACACATTGGATTGTTCTATCTGTGTCCTGACCAATTAGGCCTAATTAATGTACAAGATACTACTTATATGTATATGGAAGATGCGACGCTGTGCATTTCCGGCTTTGGTAAGGTTCAACAGCCCCCTAAAAGGTGATTTCATTACCCTAAACGAGGCCACACAATGACATTGCCTTAAGGATCCCCGTACCACTGTCACACATGTAACTAAGCACTGGGAACGCTATATTTCGGCATTACTAGGTAGAGCTTTGATTAATCATTTCTGAAAACCAAAGCAGAATTTCTCAGCCTTTTACCTGTCGCCCAGGAATCCTGAAGTTTTGTCTTCCCGCATACTTGGGTCATGCGCGGCTTATTTTTCCTTTTACCACCTACATATGTATGGAGAGGCATACGTACCAAGATGGGCGTGGCTATAGTAAAAAGCCCCGGTAATTACCGGTTTGTTAATGTAAAACTACGGGCCTTGCATCCAGAATGATCAGCATATGTTGTAAACATAATAGCCCTCTTCATTTACAATAACGATAACACATAACACCAAAGAATGTAGTGAAATGACACATCATCTTAAGTTCACTATCAATTTAGGCCACTTAGCCTTTGTTTTCTGATTCACAATCTTCTAAAATATATTACCGAGGTATTTCACTTGTTGTGGTTTCACATGGCAACACCCATCTTGATTTGAAGACGGTATACCTCTCCACCACAGGGACCTGAGAATTTGTTACAGCTACATTTCGACCTAAACTAGTAATTTTATGTTTTACGGGTTTTGATCAACTTTCAGTAAACCTGCCACCCAAATGATGATATATATACGAGTATATATCAGGGGTGGCAACTTTACCGAAAGTTGATCTAAACCCGCCAAAACAAATTTATTCTGAACACCTTAGTATAGGTCCAAATATAGCTGTGACAAATTAGCAGGTCCCTGTGCTCTCCACAACTTGTAAAAGTAAAAACAGAAATCAAGCCTCGCGTGAACTAGATACATAAACGATGTTTATATATTAATACGTCATTTTGTAGATTTCTGTTGGTCGCAAAAGAGACTGACACGTAATGGTGCCGGTGGTCTATTTTGATGGAGACATCAGCCTTGTAACATTGACTAAATTAACGGCGCTACGTCCTACATTGTATTTAAATACCTAACGCACAGGTTAAATTTTACATATCTAAATTCCATTGTTAATTTTTTTATATTTAAATATGACTTCAGGGGGTAAACTTTAAGGTGACCATTTAAAAGGGCTTATTGAACCTTAAGATCACTTTTCCTGTCGTCCAGACTTTAAATTTCTGATTGCGTGTCGGTGCCTGGGAAATTGTTCGTGGACTTGTGCTTTAATTTCTTTGTATTTGTCGCTGAGGTAAACTTAATGATATACGGAGACGTTTATAGGTATTTCGTTGTGGGTGCATGGTTTGTTTGGGAAACAATAAGTGCACGCGCATGCATTTTTTTCCCGTGGTTATGAATCTACGAAAAGAATCTTTGATAATTATTAGATTTAGGGTAAATGGCTTTACTGCTGTACCAAACAGACACAGTTGCGTATTTTAAACCAAAATATCAAAAAAACGAGGAAGAGAACTATAGCACGGTTCTATTAATAAACTTCTAACGATATTAACTATCATAGTAACAATACATGTTACAAGATGATAATGATAATGAGTAATTAAGTAAACAGGTACTCGAAGGGCTAGGATAATCTCCATTTCAGTCCACATTTACGGAGACAATCTTTCGCTCTAGACCTATACCATTGGGGCGGAGGCGGGATGTGGCGTTGTAATAAATCAATACACGGGCGCTACAGTTAGCATGGCTTAAATTACCTTGATCCATACATCACTTGTTAGCAGAACAACTGGTACCTTGCTAAATCCCGTTAAGGATCTGTTTTGTGTAAATGCATTTTAAAATACAAACAAAACGAAAATGTGTGTAATATAGGTCAGCCTCATGAATAAGCTAAAACAAAACAAGATCGTGTGTTTTTGGAGGATACGGAGATCATGTCTGCTATAATAGGAAACTGCGTTTTACGTGGATATAGAATGCGACTGATAGAAAACAAATAGCCGTCTTTAATTTTAACGATACCAAGCCATTTTGTTCACCCACCAGCAATGGGAAATTTGTTACGAAATAGTTAAATAGAGTCGACTATTCGACACGGAGAACTTTCCACCCTTCTATCATATGCCATCATTATATCCCGCAACGAAGTGAGACAGGTGGGTTCTGCTGAAATAGGGTTGTCTGTCCTTCCGTCTGTCTATCTAGTCCGTACAACTCCGACGACAGTAGAATTCATCGGTTTGGAAATATATTATATCAATGTTTTACTTTATATACGAACAAATAAAACATTTTTTGTATATTTTTTTTTAATATCGTCCTTCAGTGTTCGGCTGCATTTCATGAAACTTCACTGATCCTGCAATTAATAGTTTGATCAGGAGGCACGGTAGTCTATAGGTAGGACGCTGGGCTCGTGACCGAAGGGTTGTGAGGCACGGTAGTCTATAGGTAGGACGCCGGGCTTGTGACCGAAGGGTTGTGAGGCACGGTAGTCTATAGGTAGGAAGCCGGGCTCGTGACCGAAGGGTTTTGCGAGTTCGAGTCTCGGAACTGTGTTGTATCTTTGAACGAGATACTTTACTCTGCTTGTTCCAGTCTACTCAGCTATAAATGAGTACGTGGTTGGGCAGTGCTAGAATTGTAGAACGCTAGCTGTGAGCGCCGAAATGGCAGCACCGGCTGTATGCTCCCCATGGAGTTGAGTATTGGCTGGTTGCGAAGGCCCTAAAACCACGGATAATAATTTGTGAACCGCCTTGGGACGACCTACGATAAGAACCTCGAATTATTATTATAAGTATCGGGCCATGTGGGAGTTATGTCCCTTGTTACAAAGCTAGCCAGCACAATGAACAGCTTTTAGCCAAATTCCATGAAATATCGCTGATGTAGTCAATACCCCTTGGCGTTGCGCACCTGTGTTTAATATTTCGATACGGCTATTTTTTATGAGTTGTGTGCCTTTTTTACAAATGCTAGCAAAGACTAAATCCTGCAGATTCGTAGTCTTTCCTCTGTGTCTTCTTGGACATAACAGAAACCAAACATGATCTCTTGCCCCATTGTAACATTTGGGATCTTTCTATTTTCTCTCTACCACCTTTTTTTTTCCTTGGGCCAAGCTTGTCTAAGACCTCACTTTTGCTTATAATGTTGAACATTCGTCCAAGTGGGGTAGGCAACGGGTTCTGTCCCCAGGCAGGGACATACCAAAGTCCCTAAAAATGATAGATGTGACTCCCTGCTTAACGTTCAGCATTAAGTGTATCGTTGTTCACCTGTTGTCAGTATCATGTGGCCGGGTGCAATACATTACACACATAGAGGCACGCCCTTAAATGACCTTAGCTGTTCATAGGACGTTCAACCTAAAAAAAAGTCCTTTCAAGTTCATGAAACTTCAAAAGCTGGATGCTCCTGCGATCAATATTTTAACCTATTACTATTTTCAACCTAGTTTCCATACCAATAATTGACAGGTGCTGATTGTAACGGTGACCGTTACAAAAACACCCCCTCTATAGGAACGCGCCCAAATACACTGTTTCATTGGATTCAGACATGTGGTTTCCGAGTAAAGTTGCAGAACATTTCATGGCGGAAAAAAGAGAAGAGGAGGAAGAAGAAGTTGAGGGTAAAACAATAACTAATCCTATTTTCCTCGAACCTATTTCTACTGATGGACAGTTTCTGCACACCTCATAGTTATTCACATATAAATACGAGTGTTGTTGTACTAATCCTGGTAAAAACTTCTAGGCATGCAGAGTTGAGGATGTTGTCGACAGTTAAGTGTGTAAGACTCCTTTTCTCTTCTGAATGTTTTTTCTTAAAAATATATGTTAACCGTATCTTAACCCATTAAAATGCTATTTCAAGGTTTCCTACTCCATATTTCAATTTGCCATCAGTCGTGATAAATTCTGATGACATATTTGTTTCCCAGTTTCAGAATCTTTCTTCTAATCTCTTTGTCGTTGACCGCACGAACAAAGTGGCTTATGTTACATAGATAGGGCGCTATATCAAATGCTGTAAAGCATTATTATTATTATTGTAGTGTAAGTGTTCCGTGTTTTTCTGTGCCTCGATTAAGGAGTGGATTGCTCTGAAAATTTGAAAACTGTAACATTTTTACTTCTTCCGCTTCTGACACCAATTATAACATTTGTTGTACTTCCGCTTCCGACACCAATTATAATATTTGTTACTTCCGCTACTGACACTGTTCTTGCTTTCCTGGCAAACGAAATGAACTGCCACATAGAAATTTCAAAAGGTTTGCAAGTATGCCTTATACTGTCGACAATGTTGGAATTCCTCCCTTGTCCTAGCCTTATACTGTCGACGATGTTGGAATTTTTCCCTTGTCCTAGCCTTATACTGTCGACAATGTTGTAATTCCTCCCTTGTCCAGCCTTATACTGTCGACAATGTTGGAATTCCTCCCTTGTCCTAGCCTTATACTGTCGACAATGTTGCAATTCCTCCCTTGTCATAGCCTTATACTGTCGACAATGTTGGAATCCCTCCCTTGTCCTAGCCTTATACTGTCGACAATGTTGTAATTCCTCCCTTGTCCTAGCCTTATACTGTCGACGATTTTGGAATTTTTCCCTTGTCCTAGCCTTATACTGTCGACAATGTTGGAATTCCTCCCTTGTCATAGCCTTATACTGTCGACAATGTTGGAATACCTCCCTTGTCCTAGCCTTATACTGTCGACAATGTTGGATTTCCTCCCTTGTCCTAGCCTTATACTGTCGACAATGTTGTAATTCCTCCCTTGACCTAGCCTTATACTGTCGACAATGTTGGAATTCCTCCCTTGTTCTAGCCTTATACTGTCGACAATGTTGGATACCTCCCTTGTTCTAGCCTTATACTGTCGACAATGTTGGAATTCCTCCCTTGTCCTAGCCTTATACTGTCGACAAAGTTGGAATTCCTCCCTTGTTCTAGCCTTATACTGTCGACAATGTTGGAATTCCTCCCTTGTCCTAGCCTTATCCTGTCGACAATGTTGGAATTCCTCCCTTATCCTAGCCTTATACTGCCGACAATGTTGGAATTCCTCCCTTGTCCAGACTTGTACTGTCGACAATGTTGGAATTCCTCCCTTGTTCTAGCCTTATACTGTCGGCAATGTTGGATCCCTCCCTTGTTCTAGCCTTATACTGTCGACAATGTTGGAATTCCCCCCTTATCCTAGCCTTATACTGCCGACAATGTTGGAATTCCTCCCTTGTCCCGCCTTGTACTGTCGACAATGTTGGAATTCCTCCCTTATCATAGCCTTATACTGCCGACAATGTTGGAATTCCTCCCTTGTCCAGCCTTGTACTGCCGACAATGTTGGATTTCCTCCCTTGTCATAGCCTTATACTGTCGACAATGTTGGATACCTCCCTTGTCCAGCCTTATACTGTCGACAATGTTGGAATTCCTCCCTTATCCTAGCCTTATACTGCCGGCAATGTTGGAATTCCTCCCTTGTCCAGCCTTGTACTGCCGACAATGTTGGAATTCCTCCCTTGTCATAGCCTTATACTGTCGACAATGTTGGATACCCCCCTTGTCCTAGCCTTATACTGTCGACAATGTTGTAGTTCCTCCCTTGTTCTAGTCTTATACTGTTGACAATGTTGGAATTCCTCCCTTGTTCTAGCTTTATACTGTCGACAATGTTGGAATTCTTCCCTTGTCCAGCCTTGTACTGCCGACAATGTTGGAATTCCTCCCTTGTCATAGCCTTATACTGTCGACAATGTTGGATACCTCCCTTGTCCTAGCCTTATACTGTCGACAATGTTGGAATTCCTCCCTTGTCCTAGCCTTATACTGTCGACAATGTTGGATACCTCCCTTGTCCTAGCCTTATACTGTCGACAATGTTGTAGTTCCTCCCTTGTTCTAGTCTTATACTGTTGACAATGTTGGAATTCCTCCCTTGTTCTAGCTTTATACTGTCGACAATGTTGGAATTCCTCACTTGTCCTAGCCTTATACTGTCGACAATGTTGGAATACCTCCCTTGTTCTAGTCTTATACGGTCGATAATGTTGGAATTCCTCCCATATATATATACGGGTGTTGTTAACCCGGCAGAAAATAAAGAAACATAGGCGGCATAGTTTTGAGGTATGTGAGTATGTCTTAATAGCTGTGTATGCCATTGCTTAAAACAAATGATAAGACAAATGGATCTTGAAGAAATTGCTAACTGCACCAACAAAAAAACACATCATTAGTGAAAATCAGGTTGATCGTTCAAAGGGAGATAACTCGCAAATGTGTGTGTTACAATTATTCTTGTGTCGTAACTAGAGATAATGTAATCGTCTTAGGAAATGGAAAGCATAATTAAGCTATCGTGATATACGTTATTTTCCCAATGTGTAAAGTGAGGAGTAATATATAGCGTGGTTTAGTTTGTATCTAAAACCAAGCTTTCATTTTGTAGAAAGTGTGTTGTTAACCAATCATGTATGAGTCAAAGAAGCGATGAATCTCAAAACGATCTGAAGCGGCTACGCCATATTCAAAACCTATTCGCTCTTCACTTCAAAAAATATTTTTTATTTTGTAGCAGGGGCGGGAAAATGCACGTTAAGCTAGGACAGTTAGATGTCTCGTGTCAAAATGTCTAAGTCTGGTGTTAAGACCAAGGGAAACTCGGGCTAGGTCTGACCGGGATACGAACCCGGGATCCTCATAATTAACTGTTGACGGACGCTATACCAATTGAGGTACCTGGTCGCCCACGATCGAACAAGTTCAGTTCCGTTACATTCCTCCCTCCTTTTCAAAATCTTTCCCCTCGAATTCATCACTATGTTCAACCCAGGTTGGTGTATCCCCTTTTCAAGCATTCATCCAGTGCTTGTAACAAGGGATTGTCACAAACACTAATTATAGTAGGAGCGGAAAAATACACGGCCAGACCGGGAATCGAACCCGGGAACCTCCGTACTCTTGACGGACGCTCTACCGATTGATGCTGTTTCAGGAAACTGAATGCCTATGGCTTATTCTCGATACTTCCGGAGTTACGCTCACTTGTCCAGGAAGCCAATGTTCTTCTGACTTCATAAATTTTGAAGAAAAAAAATGTCCATTCCTTTAATGTATCGAAACTGCGCATTAAATGTCCCGAGTTACTTTCCGTTGGAAAATCTAAATACTAAAATCTGCTTTTTTGCAGTTATTAATTTCTTTCATAAACTTTTTCACATAATTTAACAGTGTTATGGTTACATAGCTGTGTATGAAAACTCTTCCGTTTATTATATCTATCTACACAATTGTTTGTGAAGAAAGTAAAACATTTGATATCTTCTGTTTATCTTTTAAAACAAGTTCCCTGTTATTATGTGATTTATATTAAGATGCAAATTAAGACGTTTCACCACAAACAAAGTCGATAATTGTTATTTTTGTCTTTTATTAGACATATCATGACGTCATCATCAGCTGTTTTTAATGATTTTACATTATTTATACAGACGATCCGCGAATAAGTCTCATCAGCCTATCGAGTCCATCTCGGACACATTGCTGTCGTAGTCTCGTCTAACATTTTCAAATCCACCACGTCCAGTTAAATTGAATTTAACTAATCGCTTAAACGACCGCTGGTAATTCCGCTCCAACCTGTTGTAGGCCGGCTTGACACTGTCCTCTGAAGGCCCCCAGTCAGCTGCGGGTTTTAAGAGGACCGCAAATCTCTGTGGAAGTACAAAGGAAAACATTACCATATTGTCAGCGTAAACGGAAAATCATGATTCAATGTCGATACAAAGAAGGACAACACTAAGAATGATATCTACAAATTCGAAGAAATGAAAATCTAAACCTAACAATAATGACAGTTAAAATGACGCCAAGGAGACAATAATGACGTATTGAAATCAAAACGTACCTTTTAAGGTCTCTTATTGTCGATTTGACCAGAGGATGACAACCGATAAGTTCGAGCCGATAAGGAGTTCGGTTACTGGGATGATAATCTCTTGTATTATCATAGTGAGAAAAAATAGGACCTTGAACTGCACAGCCTGAAATTGTCTCATAACGTCAGTGATATTGAAATGTAATAATCAAGCGAGTCTTCGAAGTGACTGTTTTAACCACATACCTTTCGTAACGATCCCTTTTCGTTTTTAACAAGTATTGCCATGTAGACAAAGATCGGGACTATGGAGGCCATGGAGAAGCACCAGCCGACACTCCGGGCGTACTCCGGGTACTGGTACGTACCGTACGTCGGGGGCTTGTACTTGAATATGCTCACCAGAACCAAAAACTGCAATAGGATGGCGTGTTATTATCTCATCAGACATTTTCACACGCTTAATTTGTGGTCAGCATTTGTTTACATGGATATCGATATTAACTCACACCATTGACCATTTCCGGTACTTTTCCTTGATATATGCAAGCAAATGGTAGTTTTTAATGGTAGTTTCGAAATCATCTTTAATTCGACAAAAAATAGATATATTGGTTTTTTTCAAATTGTCACTCACCGTTAGAATAACTGGCATGACGAAAGCCGTTGCGATCCGAACAAACGCAGGAAGCGGCCGTCCCAACATCAGTAAAGCATCGCGACTAAGGCGGTCGCCTCCTATATACATAACATTATTTAAATTACCATGTTAGCAGTGGCATAGAATACATGTATGCTTGTATGCTCAAGCAAACACTAAAATTTGTTTTTTAATCATCTATTTTCATTTAGTTCTTTTTTTCATGATGAATATTGGCCGTCAGTATCAATCATAAAAAGGGGGATTTAAAATTAAATCTTGAAAATTTTAGTCTGATAAAATAGTGTTGTTATGTCTATACACATTGAAACATCTCGAAGGTTAATGTAAAATTCTAAATTAAAAACTACCTAGTGAAGTACAAAATTTAATATTATTTATATAAAAAGTCGCGTTTTACTTATTAATAATCAGACTAAAAGGATTTCACAGATTACGAAAGATTGCTTATAGGATCTAAGAGAAGTTTGTTTTTCAGCTATACGACTCCCATACCCTCCCCCTCCTTTGGAGCTACGCGCCTCGGACGCTCGACCCTCTGTAAGCATACACTCCCCCTCCTTTGGAGCTACGCGCCTCGGACGCTCGACCCTCTGTAAGCATACACTCCCCCTCCTTTGGAGCTACGCGCCTCGGACGCTCGACCCTCTGTAAGCATACACTCCCCCTCCTTTGGAGCTACGCGCCTCGGACGCTCGACCCTCTGTAAGCATACACTCCCCCTCCTTTGGAGCTACGCGCCTCGGACGCTCGACCCTCTGTAAGCATACACTCCCCCTCCTTTGGAGCTACGCGCCTCGGACGCTCGACCCTCTGTAAGCATACACTCCCCCTCCTTTGGAGCTACGCGCCTCGGACGCTCGACCCTCTGTAAGCATACACTCTGAAAAAAGATTTGCCACACCACTGGTTAACACAGTGTGTCCAATGCTTGACAGATATAAGATATACTTCAATTCACATGTATAGTCCTTCGAAATGTTGACGTACATGAAGAACCGATCTGTACTGAAACTATGGACTACAGTACACAGATGACAAGGGTGTGAAGTGAGCTGAAATGCTCACAGATTCATTTATTAGCATATTCCTAAATACCCAAAACAAATGGTAGTTAGCTGCAAGGTCGATCTCCGCGTGGACATAAATGACCGAAGGGTTGCGGGTTCAAGTTCAAGTTCAAGTTCAAGTTCTTTATTCACCAAAAGTCTTAAGACTTATAGGTACAAAGTAATCATGATATATTGTACATGTATATATGTTATAGGAGAGTGACTATAAGCATACAAGTGCAAACTAAACAAAGAACATAATACAAAAGCACAAAAATTATAAATACGTGTAGCTAATTAATCAATTTCGCCGCTTAGTGGCTAGATATAAATATTTACCTAGATTTGACAACTCTTTGACATTATTTACAGATAAAAGTTGGACAAGTTTGTAAACAGAGGGACTCTTATAATAATACTTCTTTATATACTTTAACCTCAAATCATTATAAAAAGGACATACAAAAATGAAATGAAATTCGTCCTCGACGTCTCCCAAATCACATTTGCTACAGTTTCTATTTCTGCGAATGATATTATTGTGTCTACCCTTTTCGATATTCAGTTGATGAGACGACGTTCTAAATTTAGTTAACATATATTTGTATTTTGTTTCAATATGTTTACGGAGATAAAACTGAATACTATGACTGTCTATAAGATATTGATATAGTCTACCTTTTGATGAAGCTGCTATCTTTGCCAACATATTTTGCTTAGTAACATCTTTCAATCTGTGTTCAATAATTTCAAAAGTGTTTACCAATGGTAGATTCGATTCAAAAATATAACCAAGACCTAGGGCAGTTAATTCATTCTTAATGTTACAAATCCACGGATCATT